ATTTCGATGGACCCTTTCCTGTATCATCAACTCTCAAGTGTATGCTAGCGATTCCTTCCTGAGCCTAAATCAGAATATTTGAACCTCATAGTCAACACTTTTAAATTTATAGAAGCAAACCTCAAAAAATTTGAAAGACCTAGATTGGATCCACTGAGCAATATCACCAGGTGCACCAAACTGAGGCGCTTCTGTTTCTAAACTTTGCTTAATGAACTTTGACAACTTACAGATCACTTTCGACTATCCTTAAGCAAGTTTGAGTTGACTCATTGCATTTGATTTTAAAAATTAGCAAAGGGAAATAAGCAACTCATACTTGTCCTGGCCACCTCAAATTGATCCAAATAATCGGCGTAAGCTTCTATGAGCGGACGCACTGACAGGATGCACTTTTCCACCTAAATTTCAAAATATCATTATTTAACCATTTAGGGAAAACTGATGAGCGACATTGCGAAAATATGTAAACACCATTTAAGCTCAATATTTTCCCCTTTTATTAAAATATCAACCATAAATCCAAAAATAAAAAATCTTTCATTTGACTGATGATAGTATACCAAAGTAAATTAGATTTTAAAAACAGTAGCGTATGAGGTAAAACATTCTAAAAAATTTTCTTTTTTACTGCAGAGCAAAGCAAACTCGAATAAGCTCTACTACAAAGTGTAGATGTTTCATAATTGAAACAAACCAAAGGTGCTGTGAGGGTGCTGAAGAAAAAGGTGGACATGAGAGAACAGTTTTACGTGAGATGTGGAATGTTTTCAAAATACTCCCCAGTTTCTGTTTGTAAGCTTTTGAGGCCAGATTATTTACAAATAGAAAGTTACCGATGAAGGAAGAGCGTTGGACATGGCAGAATGGAAGGAAGCGGTGTCTACAGATGGTATCTCGCTACCAGTGGCTGTGGTCCTGGACTGGCTGCTTGTTTTGCGGGTAGCAGAAAAATATTGGTGAAATTCTTCTCGGAACAATCTAAAAATCGAGTTATAATCAAACAGTGCGCCAAACAAAATCAAAATCACTTCTTTTCTGGATTCAGAATATCTTGGAAGACACCAGGCTGCCCATTTATGTCTGGATTCATTGAATGTACACACAGATGCCGATCAAGGTGAGTCAAAAAGAATTGCCCTCTAAAGATATTTTGTTACATTAATGTTCTTCACCACAACTGTTGTTGAAATCACTAACAATTTGTCTTCCTTTGCCATGAATGCTGTTCCTCCATAGCATGCACAACCCCAAACACTAGTTCTGTCCCAGAGAAACTGCAGTCTCTTTGTAGCCCTATCATGTTTCAAAAGAAACGACTGGCGAAGGACGTCCAAATGACTTGATTCGACGGGAAATGGAAGCTGCAAAGAGAGGCATTTGCATGTTCTGGCCGACAAACTGCAAAATCACCTCAACGTCAAGCAGAATTCCGTTGACGCTTGCTCGAGCACATTCAATCCACGTCGGACTATCCGATGGATGGAATACTGCAAATATACATCAAAGCAAACATTACATCTTCAGAACGAAAAGACCCCAACCCTCTTGCTTCCCCTTCCCCCCCCCCCCCCCCCCCCCCCCCCCCCCCCCCCCC